GTTTATTTGGATGATTCTGTGATGTTTTACCATATGGATCTCCTAGATATAAAGACTTACTAAAATATTATTTACCTCATCATTAATTCTTTATAGCAAAACTAGCATTCCAGAACAAAAGTCATTTTCTGCTATTTCAAAATATCTGGTTTAAATATAATTCAAGGGTCGCTATTCTCCAAAGCACCTGAAGGCAGGACAAGAAGCAACGGATGGAAACTAATCAAGGAGAGAAGCAACCTAGAAGTAAGGAGAAACTTCCTGACAGTTAGAACAATTAACCAGTGGAACAACCTGCCTCCAGAAGCGGTGAATGCTCCAACACTGGAAGTTTCCTGCTTGAGCAACCCCTGAGATATTAGAACACTGCTATAATACCTAATAGTTAGTGTTTGGAACAAAAACTTAAATATCAACCCACTTTTGTTAGTATTTTTGAGATTAAGTAAATCTCAAAAAATCTTGTGAAAATAATTGCTAGGATTCAAAAGAATTTGTTAAGCTTATGTCAAAGCACAAGATAAATATAAAACTTCCAATTTTGAAATAAGCTTGAATTTGAAGTGAGAAAATTGTAAATGAGAAATATAAAACCAATTAATATCATTGCATCATTTTTAATATGGTGTTTAATAAATATACTGATAATGAAAAATACATACAGAAGACCAAACTAGTATACTAATAATCTGCATTATTTTTAATTATTTAGTTTTCTATATGTAGCAAATATTTATATGTATGATAAATTAAAACAACTTTTTAATTCAAAATAGTTTTCATTCCAGTATTCTTGCAAACCAGTTTCTAAAAAGATGAATTTTATAACTAATAACCATAACTCTTTACAAAGTATAAAGCTTTTTAACTTCAGCTTTTTTATTTTACTTTTTTACTTCAATTTAGCTTCAATTTTTTATTTTACTGAAGTTTGAAATGCATTTAGTTGGTTATATAACAAATAAGCAAACTGCTGTTTAATTAATGTTTTCAAAGAATCAAAAGAATAAGGATCATAGTTTAGAATGAAGAATTATTCTAAGTTTCTGAATTATTCTCAAAGAGAGATTTTTATTACTGAAAAGTATGCATTACACATACCCCTTTAAATGCTGTAAGTACTATAGATAAGAAGCCATATGTCATACCAAATTATACACCTCCCAAAAGAAGTATGTGACTATATCAAATTTTATATCTATCTAGTATCTAAAATAATAAGAATGAATTGTCCTGCAATGAAAAAAGCAATTATGCCAATATGTTTAAATTCATCATGTTCTCTTTCCAGTTTTTTTTTTTAAAGAACTGAGACCAGTTAATTCAGAATGACTTATTTGAACAAGTTTCATTTTTGGAGATGGTCTCATTTTTATCTGCTAGATTTCTGATAACCTATCTTCCTCCCCCTCTCTAAAATAACCTTTTTTTAGAGATGCTTTACTCACTCCTACCTACCATTTTAACTTTCCTTTAACAATCCAGTAAAAAATTCAGGGAGCAATAAAAAAAATCTGTTTATATTGCTTGTCATTATTGTGCCTAGATTTAAGCAGTGCTTGAATAGAAAGAGGAATATTTCAGTTGCATTAATTCATTTCTTGCAACTGTATTGATTTCACTTTATCAGACTACATTGTATAGGGGAGAAAAAAGTGTGTGTACATGTGATCTTATTGTCTCATTCTGAAGGCAAATTCAGTTCATTCAGAAAACAGTCTGCCTGTGATTTTTTTGCTCCTCGTACTTTATAGCTTGTAAAATGTATTGTATATGTGTTAAAAAGTGGTTTATGGGACTATTGTCAATTTAAAAGGGAGAAATGTAAAAAGGTTGTTTTATTGACAGGTGATTTTTTTTATATCCGTTTTTGTATGTTGCCTTGAGTTGCTTTGGATTATAGAGCATTTAATTATAGAATAAATACAGTCTGAAAAACATTTTTTAATGGTGAGAGAGAGATGATGACGCATTTTAGAAGCACATAGAATTTAAAGCAATTATGTAGCCAGATTTTTTTCAGATTAATTCCCATCAAAAATGTAGTAATGATTGTAGTATCAAGCAAACAGGCATTGACTTATTAATTTATTAACTGATTGACCCCAAATTAAATTATTATAAATGTTTGAAGAATAGTTATCAGCATTTAAATTGGGCTAATATTCTTGTGCTGGCTAGGTAATTTTACCAATCAATATTATTTTAAGATAAAATAAAACAGTTTTTTTTCCAATTAAATGTTGTGTTTTTAATGTGTAAAAAATAAAAAATAGTCTCAAATTAGCACAAGAAACTTAAAATATTGGGTAGGTGGTAAATTCACTCTGAACACGTGGCTTCTTTTTTACTCACAATTCAAACACCACAAAAAAACCCTAATTGTTCCTACTTTTTCATTTTAAATTATTTTTACATTTTGAAGAAATCATTCCAAAGTGAAAGAAGGAGCGGAGAGTGTTCACTAGAAGAAGCTATTCCTATCAAAATATTGTTACTTCACTAAAATCTGAATATAATTATTTAAATGGCTTCCAATGATTCATTGGTAGGACTTCCTTTGAAATGTCAGGAACAAACATGTGTTGCTAGAATGGTGTTAAAATAAATTACAGTTGATATTGATGGAGAAATGATATCTGGTATTATTTCATATCCAATTTATTTTTATTTTACTTATTTATTTGTATCCTACCTTTATTATTTTTACAAATAACTCAAGGTGGCAAACATACCCAACATACCTTCCTCTTCCTATTTTCCCAACAACTCTGTTGATTGGGCTGAGAGAGAGGGACTGGGCCAAAAAATATTCAGCTGGCTTTCCTGTCTAAGGCTTGGTGCCTTAACCACTGGGCCAAATTACTCCTCTGCAACAATTAAGGATTGGCTTTAATTCTGAATATTAAAGAATTGGGGATAAAATTAGCAGAGATAGGCTGTTCCTTTGTTTTTAGTATTTGTATTTTAATCCTGTCATTAACTCTTCCTTTAAGTTATACTCCATTCTTTCCAATTAAAGGTATCAGAAATAACATTTTCTCTGCACTTTGTTCATTGTCACAGAAATGGGCTTTAGGAGGGTTATCAAATAATATTCAGCTCCATGTTGAGAGACAGTGACACTGACAGCTTCTTGTTTTTCTTTACAATTTTTTAATTTGCAGATCTATACTATTTTCTGAATTTCTTATCTTAGACAAACATACAATATTATCCACGATGAAGATCCATAATATAGATTTGAAATTATTTTCATAGTTCATTATAATTTTCCCTGCTGCTGCTTAATATTTATATATTTCCTGATTTATAATTTGTTTCAGTAAGGACAGTTGATAAAAGGATGTGGCTCTATATCTTAATATAGGCACATATAATAATTGGGGATATTGTTCTGCCTGCCAATATTGCCAAAATTATTTATCTATTTCTCTGTGTATTCTTTTTATGTTTTATCCAAATATTTATCTGTAATTTCTACTCTGTTTAACTTAATCCTGGTCAAAATTTATAAACAGATGAGGTCGTTGAAGATTGTATACTCAGTCATATAGTCAGAGTAAACATGAGAATATGAAACACAAAAATTGGGTATAATATAAAATGATACACTTTTGATTTGCAAAATATATCTAAGGTGGAGAGGATGTAACCATCAGGTGCTATGATTTTATCATTTTAAAATATATTAGGAGATTTTAGAATATTTTTGGTTGTTATTTAAAATAAGGTTGTAAAATTTCTGGATAGTTGTGAATCACTTGGATGGGAATTTAATAAATAAAAGTACATTTATTTTAGCACATTTTTACTAAATCAAAGGTGCTTCTTTTTTTAGAAATTTGCCATAAAATCATCTTCGATGCATCCATAGTAAAAATATGATTGATCCATAAATTAAATAAGTTTGGGTAGGTAGTTCTGCTTCAAAATACCAGATGAGAAAGAATATCAGCGTATGTCTCTGGTAAATATTAACATACCAATGATAAAACATTCTGTAGTATATTGTATTTAGATACAATTCAATTCAGTGAATTTAAACCTCAGAATGATTAATGTACAAGGCTGATTCAGTCTTAATTTTCATGGTCAAAAAAATAACATTAAAACACAACAAAAATCTGAACAATGCTGTCAAAAGAAAGCAGGAGATGTACCAATCAGTTGTTCTTCCGGAAAATGGATGCATTGACATAATTTCTATAATCTATGCATAAAGCCTGATTGTCCCATTTGCAGTGTAAGATACTTTTATTTTATATACAAAGTGCCGAGTTATTTGGAATATTTTCCCATTTGAGCCCATGTGAGATTTGTGCTACAGAATTATTTCTCCAATTTTTGTTTTCAAGCTTTTTATATTGGATCCTTTTTATATTGAAAATGATGGGCTTTTACCCCACCTTCAGAATGTTGTTTCCTTTGTAATTGTTTATTTCAGGCCTCATTTATCTTTGCGCTTATCAATTTACTCATTAGTTTCATTGAAAATTACTGTGTTTCTGATGAACATTTCTTTTGCCAGCTGTTGCCTTTTTCCACTATTAATTGGGCAGTAATACCGATGGAACTTGAGGAAGCAGGCAGTAGCTACGGGGAGTTAGGAAAAAATTGAGAAGTCTTTGTGAGAATAGAATAGGCAGCATACAGTAAACGTTACTATACTGTAAAATTCCTGTGCTCAAGCAGGTGCATTTGAATAGCACATATGTTATAAATACAGTATTCTAAAATGATGGGAAGTTTCCTGTAAACATTAGATTAGCATGTGATAACTTTTTGTATAGGTCAAAAGTACTTTTGAAAGTACTTTTACAGTAGAAATACACTTCATAGAATTCTGTTTTGTCTTTACCTTTCTGTTCTTTGAAGTATTCTGTTGGAGAATATAATTGGGAAGGGGAAGATGGGAAAAAGCATTGATATATTCTATGTGTATGTGTGTCCAGTCCAATTATATAGCACAGCGTTAAACCAAAAATTATTTTCCCTAGGAGGAACAGGCTGCTAAACTGAAGGCTGAAAAGATCAGGGTTGCTTTAGAGAAGATTAAAGAAGCACAAGTTAAAAAGGTAAATTGTTTTTGTTTAATATATTTTAAAGTCAATAAAACAATTAGTTCCTACTGGGGAAAATATGCAGCATTAAAACTCTTGTTTCTTATGTTACATTTCTAGTTCTACAGTTTATACAGTATTGCATTGCAATTGTAGTTATGAAGCAATGTTAACGTATTCAACTTGGACTACAGCACAGAACGTTCCTTTTTAATGATTCCAAGATCTGGGTTGTATCCAGTTATATCCATTTACCCTATCTGTGTTCCTGTTTTACTGTTGAATGGCTCCTAATTTGCTACAAAGACCTCAGGGTATCTTTGCAGGGCATCTAAAGCAGACATGTGATGTCGCTCAACGTATCGGAGCTTTTTCGCCATTGCTGGCAATGGGGTGGGCGTGGCTTCCTGATGATGCATCTGGCCTGCGGGCCGGCATTTTGACACCCCTGATCTAAAGGATACAGAAAAATAGGAGCTAGTTAAGTGTAGAATCAACTCAAACTAAAAAGAGTTGGAAAAATTAAATTATACTTACTACCCATGTAAAAATCATATCATTTAAAATACTTAGAATCTAATATAGGCAGTCTTTGCTTAACAGTAGTAATTGGGACTGGCGACTCTCTCACTAAGGAATGCAGTCATAAACCATGATGTCACATGACCACACTAACTTACAACAGCAGTTGCAGCAGTCCCAATTACCCTCATTAGACAAATCCCACATGGTTGCAGATTGTGCTCCCATGATAGTCATTTGCAACCTTCTGCCAGCTTCCCCATTGATTTTGCTTGTCGGAAGCCGGTAGTGAAGGTAACGATCAGATGATCCTGAGATGCTCAACATCATAATTATGAAGTGGTTACCGAGTTCCCAAAACATGATCCTATGAATGCAGGAATGCTGTGACAGCCTCAGATGTGAGGACCCGTCATAAGTCTCCCTCATTGTAACTTTGAACGCTTGATGAATGAGTGGCCATTCAGTGAGGACTATCTATACTGGGTAGTCAGAAATTTTGTTTCAAAATTTCATCAAAATTTAATGCCTTCTCCTTTATTTCTGCTACAGCTTGTGATAAGAGTCCACATGTCTGATGACAGCTCGAAGACAATGATGGTAGATGAACGACAGACAGTAAGACAAGTGTTAGACAACCTGATGGACAAATCCCATTGTGGATTTAGCTTAGACTGGTCCTTGGTAGAAACAATCTCTGAATTACAAATGGGTTAGTAATTCAGATTTCTTGACCATACCAACTTGTTGTGGAATTTTTATAATGTATGATCTTGTTTCCTGGTTCTCTCTTATTCCTGAGTTGATATGCCACATTTTAAAAAATGGCTTTTTATGGGGGGATAGGGGTGGTGGTGGTGGGGAAACCTTGATCTTTATTAGATTTCAGGGCAGTATGTGTATATGTGTGTGTGCCTGTGTGCATATGTTCTAGTCTTTCTTTAGGTAGCTGGGTTATTTTGAAGTAGACTTCTTTGCTTGTAACTTTTTGTAAAGATGCTTTTATACTTTTGGAATTTCTAGGTTTGCTAAAATTTCTATAATGTTTTGGTGTTACGACCGTGATTACTTAACCACAAGCTTTCAGCAGATCAAATCAGAAATACAATAATAAAATAATCAAGGCTTGGTTTTCTTGGGAAAGATATTAAATTGGATACAGATATATTTGCATGCTGCATATATCGTACTGCTCTTACCTATACACATTTTAATCCACATTTTTATTTAAAAGTCAACAACATATTTATCACAAGTGGTTGATGTTCTTGCTATTTTGAACCTGTTAAAAATACCTTCATATAGATAAAGCCTTTGTGTTATAACTTCAGTATATAACTTGCTTTCATCCTTTTGTATACAAACATTTTTAGTATTCTACTTAAATATTGGGGTGCATTTTGAATAGAAATACATTCCAAATGTGGTGCAATATGTTGGTTTTGTTATTATTACAGTTCATTCCTTTCATATAATTAAATTGAATGTATTAAAAATACATTATTTGTAATAAGAATAATACCTGTAAGATTCTTTTTTTTCTATACTCTTACAGAGTAGTTTTTCCTCCCCTTTTGAAAAATGTTTCTTTACATTTTTCACAATAATGGAGTGATAATTCATTCGATTGGTACATAAAAACAAATCTGTATTGATTTGACATTGCAGGATAAAAGTAAACAAAATCAGAACCATGGAGTTGGACTTCGTCTATGATTGAAATTGTAGCCTCCTAATTCCATGAAATGAGTATAATGAATACACACAGATTCCTTTGTATGCAAAATAGGTTTGTAGAATATGTTCTCACAAGTAAAAAAAAAGCACATATATTTATTTATGCATTATAGAAACCATGTCATTGGAAATAGACTTCTACCTGTTTTTGGAAAATATGAAAGATACCTGTTCTTCTATTTTACTTTTTTATTAATATGCATTGTCATATGACATTACAAAAAGGACTTCAGACTATAAAATTAGTTGACTTGATTTTGAGTTTAAAATGATTGTTATATTTTTGTAATTATGCAGATAGGATCTTTGAAGACCATGAAAATTTAGTTGAAAACCTCCTGAACTGGACAAGAGATAGTCAAAACAAGCTCATGTTTGTTGAACGCATAGAAAAATATGCCCTTTTTAAAAATCCCCAAGTAAGTATAATGCTCTTCCATCAGTCTTGTATTATTGTCACAGACCAGAATAAAAACTAAAATACTTCAATAAAACAAAACAAGACATAATAGTGTATTAAAATCAATGGTGAGATCATCAGTGAGTGGAAATAAAGCTCTTTTTTCTGCATTTCAACATCCATTGTGGCTTAAACAACCTTTGTGATGATTGTTTTACATGCTTAATACACTAAGATTTATTAATTTATATAATAAATTATTAATATTTATATTTATTAATATAATTTATTAAAACCATAACTGTGCTCTGAAAGGGAGTATTTGTTAAATTTGTTTTCATGTTTCCATTCCTCTCCCAATAAAATTCTGAAAAACACTAAAAATATATCAGCATTTACATTTCTGACCAAGTTTTTGTATCCAAGAATAAACATGCCTGCCTTAAACTTAGTTTGAAAGACTTCATATTATTCCCATAAATTTATATCTTTTTCCATGTAGAAAAAATAGTACTCTTTATTAGCATCAGGAAAAGATAAGACTAAGATAACTATTTCATTTTGGTTATTTTACTTTGTCAACTGTAGCTTCTATTTCTCTGTTGCAGAATTATCTTCTTGGGAAAAGAGAAACCTCTGAAATGGCAGACAGGAACAAGGAAGTACTACTGGAGGTAAGTTGATAAGATGGTAACCACTTCACTATGGGCTACAAAAGGGAAAGCTGAATATCTTAAAACAGTCCATAACTCACCCGCAGAATCCAACATTAAAATCTATCTGCCACATGAAAAATAATGAAGAGTATTGTAATATTCATCTGTCATAAATGAGCCATTTGATGAGGAAGTCTCAGTTACTTAGAAATAGGACCAAACAGAAACTTAGAATCCTGGAAAAATATTTTTACAGAAAAGTATTTTTACAGAATATTGGAAAACCTTTTTTTAAAAAAATCCAATGTAAGTATGTTGTAATGCTAAGGCTTACATCCCTACTTGAAAGAACAAGTACTGGAATCTGAATTGTTCTGTTTTCTTCCTGGGCTCTATTGTGAGTTGAATTGTTAAGTTTATTGTTAAGGTGATTAAGATAAGAAGTTGTTACAGTTGGAGTAATCATTTACCACATATGTGTTTCATTACTGTGTTTTCTTTTATCTATTTCACCCTGGAATTAGATACTGTATTTTTGTTCTATTGTAATAGCCTCCCCCCTCTCTCTTTCTCTCTCTCCCTCCCTCCCTCTCTCTCGATTAGGGTTAGGGAGCTAAACTTGTTACCGTGCTTAAGCCATCCAAGTCCCCACAGGCCAAAATACCTTTTCTTTTGGGCTGAACTTCCCCGTCCTCACTCTAAGAGAGAGAAAAGGAAATACTGAAGAGACAACTAATGCAAAAAAAAAAATTTGTTGTGAATACATAAAGTTCCTTTTTCATAATTACTTTACCTTTATGTTCTAGGAGTGTTTTTGTGGAAGCTCAGTAACAGTGCCAGAAATCGAGGGAGTTCTGTGGCTAAAAGATGATGGTAAAAAATCTTGGAAGAAGCGTTACTTTCTTCTGCGAGCTTCTGGAATCTACTATGTTCCAAAAGGAAAAGCGAAGGTGAAATCCCTTTTGAGTCTAATATAATGTTCATCTTTTCAAATGGGCATGACTGCAACTTTTACTAGATACACCGTAAAATACACTTTTATGATTTATTTTTGAAGTAGGCATCAAAATATCACATTGTATTGGGAATGTTCATGGCCGAGCCTTCACTTTCAAATTGACCAGCTGTCTAAAAAACATTCTGAGTTTGAAACAATGGATTTCAGGATTCCATCACCATCAAAATGTTGTGCTGAACGTAGATGAAACTAGCATATTCAGCAATCATAATAGAAGTTATAGGTATATAAAAAAATAGAACCGCCAAACTCAGTTGGAGTAGTGCACATTGCATTTAATTTCTTCCAAAGCTGGATCTATCAGTTAAAAATTCACCTAATCTTCAGAGGGTATCATTAAATCATGTTAGTGACTGGTAATTACTATCAGAGGGATACATCATTTATGTATGCAGTGAAACCTTTATTAAACAGACTCTGTTTAGGAGACTTCAGATGCATCTGACCAAATTTCTGCCCAGACTTCCTCCCAAAATAATGGACATGTCTGGCACCCAAACTATAGTGATACAAACAAGGCATTTAAATTTATATTAATGATATATTATGTTTATGTAATGATACCATGATGCAAATCACAAGATTGTGATTTGTATCATTTGCATAATAGTGTACTACAGAAATAACAAAAAAGTTTGCAAATGATGTAATATGCATTCATGGACATTTGGGAATAATGAATGAGCCATCCCCTTTCTTCATATTTTGGAATGAGAGGTTGAAGTAGTAGTTAAGATTTTGGACTGGCACTGGGAAAACTTAGGTTTTGCTCCACCATCAATCCCAAAAGCTCCCAGGACTGGTGACTTTGCGCCAGCATTCACGCTCAGCCCAACCTGCTTTACAGAGATGTCCTGGGGGAAAAAGGACACAATGTTTTATGCACTCTTAAACAAAAAGATAAAATATAAATTTCATGAATAAACAGTTACAAATAATTTTTTCTCTTATATATAGGTTACGTCATTTAGTTGAGCATGTACGATACCCTGCAAGTGTGTTAGGCAGTCATGAAAAAATGCTGTAAATTAACAATGCTTTCAGAAATAGTAGTGGTAATGGTTTATTTTTATCAATTAACAAAATGGAAAGTAAAGGAACAGAAGAGAAATCGAAATCAATATTTGGTGTGACTAACCAAATGTACTGTACTTTTTATAGTGTTATATATAGACAATAGCCTTGACAGAACTATATTAATATGATATGTAGTTCTTTGTCCATGATCAAGTATGTCATTATTGATAGGTCTCACGAGATCTTGTGTGCTTTCTTCAATTGGATCACGTTAATGTTTATTATGGACAAGATTATCGCAACAAGTACAAAGCTCCTACAGACTATTGTCTGGTATTAAAGGTAACTATTGAGTTAATTCTTCTGATATGACAAATGAATAAACATTGAAGAAAACTGTCTATAACTTCATGAAATTTGTTTCTATGTGCCATGGATTTCATGACATGACAGCTATATCATTTATTTATTTATTTATTTATTTATTTATGAGACTTATATACCGCTTTAAGTGCAAGCACTCTCTAAGCGGTGTACACCAGTAAGCAATGTATATATATATTTACATTGCCCCAACAATCTGGGTCCTCATTTTACCTACCCCGGAAGGATGGAAGGCTGAGTCAACCTTGAGCCAGTGAGATTTGAACCGCTGACCTGCTGAACACAGTCAGCTAAAGTGGCCTGCAGTACTGCACCCTAACTGCTGCGCCACCTCGGCTCATATCATCCTGTTTTGTTTTGTTTAGCAGGTTTTAATGTTCCTTTAAAACTAATCCAAGTACAGATTTTATCTCCCTGTTAAAACAAAAATCACAATATCTTCATTTTATCTGGAGGATTTACTCTAATCTTTTTATGAAAACATAGTATACAGACAATAGTATCAATATGCTTCAGCTGGTCCCCATTATGACTAATTTTAATTCTGTAATTATTTTTAATTCAATCAAAACACATTAAATATTTCTCTTCCAGCATCCCCAAATTCAGAAGAAATCTCAATATATTAAGTATTTATGTTGTGATGATATCAGAACCCTTCATCAGTGGATAAATGGCATCCGTATTGCTAAGGTATTACCGTCCATGTTTTTCTTTAGCATTAATTCTATATTAGAATAACTCTTTAGTTTTATCCACTGCAATTCTGGGAAATACTTGAACCGAATTTGTTACCTTCTTCTACTTTAATTGTTACCCTGTCCTGCCACTCTTAATAAGAACTGATTAATACTAATTAAATCAAGCCAATATCATGACAAAATATAGTTTTCTCTGAAATATGAATGACTGAAAAACAGAAAACAACCAAGCAATAAATATATTGGTGTTTTATTTCCTTTTTAAGAGTACAAATTTTTGTACTCTGGGTGGCAGTGAGTATCAATTTACAAGCATTCTCACCTATGATCCATAGCAAGGCAATGCTCAATAACCAAGAATACAGAGTGTAAAACAAAATGAAATGAGTACTGTATATTCCGGCAAATAAGACGATTTTCGCAAGGATTAAAATCGGCGCCGAAGTCGGGGGTTGTCTTATACGCCGAGTCATCTTATACGGCAGAAATACTGGTAGTTTCCGGTGTATAGGACGACTTTCTAGGCATGCGACTCGGCGCCGAAGACGGGGGTCGTCTTATACGCCGGGTCGCCTTATACGCTGGCATATATGGTACTATAAAAATTAAAATTGACAATAGATGTTTTACCAGCAAATGACTTGAACATAAAAAAAAAGCTCAGAAAGTTTCAATTTGTTATTCTATCATTGACCTCTAGACTACCTTGATTGCCTTGCTGTCTGTCTGTCTGTCAGGGAGGGAGGGACGGACGGACGGACGGACGGACAGAGGAAGGCCATCAGCACCCATCACTTCCCTGCAGCAGCCAAGTTGCAGCCTCCCAGTATCTCTCTCTCTGCCCTTTGAAGCTAAAAGCATCTCCCACTCTACCCCTAACGTCCCAAGGGACACGAAAGAGCTAACTTAAGGAGTAATTTTAACTTTACAATGAATGTATTTTCTAAAGGATCAATGATCATTTGTCATGATTGTGCTGCATGTTTGTCTATGACCAAAATCTGAAACACAATCCCACTACCTATATACTTTTTCTTCTTTAAATTGCTATTTTTCTTAACAGTGCAGTTGTAAAATCAGGGAAGTCTGTTTGACTCAGCTTATACATAGACAAAATAACTTGATGGCAGTGCCAGCATTTTCTGGAAACAAAGGAGGGAGGAAACTTCCTGTTGCAAATTTGAGGCAATTTTCTCTCTCCCCCCCCCCCCAATTATACTGAAACTAAGGACAACATACCTGGCTATTTTCTAAGTATACCAACCTCTTTCAAATGAAGACAGTTGCTCAGGCTGCCTTCTGCTTGTGCAACCAATGGGTGGAAGCCCTTTATTTGCTCCCAAATGCATTCAGGTTTCATTCATTTTTATTTTATTGTTTCTTAGTGATGCTTAATCAATTGAACAGTAATTCTAACCCTGTTTTGGGGCATATTAGAGTTAAAAAAAACCATTCCAATACTTGCTCTCATAGAATTAGAGTGTGCAGTGCGATTGTCTTGGTTTTCAATCATACAGATGGAAATGTTATAACAAGCAGCATTCATATTTTGTATTTTGTACAGTATGGGAAGCAACTCTATGTAAACTATCAAGAAGCTCTGAAAAGGACAGAATCAGCATATGATTGGACATCCCTGTCCAGTTCCAGTATTAAGTCTGGATCCAGCTCATCTAGTTTGCCAGGTAAGCCCCATTAGATCAGTCAATACAAATAGCTGTTTCTGTGTATAATGTATATGTATTGATTCAGTGACTAGTAAAAAATATGTGCATTTCTCTTTCTCTGCCTCATCCCCTTTGCTGTAAAAATTATACCTGCAGTCTAATGTAGAAGCAAAATATGCAGTCTGCATTTTGAAAGCAGTGATTAGGAGCAGTCCATGTGGACTTTTAAAGAAAATATCCTGTTAAAATATAGATAGTCCTCGACTTAGAACAGTTCATTTAGTGACCGTTCAGAGTTACAGCAGCACTAAAAAAAGTGACTTATGACCTTTTTCACACATAGGACCATGGCAGCCTGCCCATGGTCCCGTGATCAAAATTCAGGCATTTAACAACTGACAAGCAAAGTCAATGGGGAAGCCAGATTTACTTAACAGCTGTGTTACTAATTTAACACCTGCAGTGATTCACTTAACAACTGTGGCAAGAAAGGTTGTAAAATGGAGCAAAACTCACTTAACAAGAGAAATTTTAGGCTCAGTTGTAGTCCTAAATCAAGGAATACTTGTAATCTTAATTTCATTGTTTATCAGTTAATTGCCTTAGCAGATTTTGGAAATGCTGTAACCCTAAAACATCTTGACTTCACAAAGGTGTTTGTCAGTTGACTTGGAAACCCACTGAAATATAGAGAAACAACCCACCAGTTGTTCCTCCTCAACGTTCTTATTAGATTTGTCAGTGACGCTCTCTAGAAGCCAGGCACCAAGTTTCAAATTAGCTTGATAGATGAGAGGAAGGGATAAAAGTACAGAATGAATTTAATAGACACAATAGATTTATTTACAATCTCAGGCCATACACAATGAAAGCCCAGCATATAATACAGTAAGTACAAAAAAGAAATCCTAAAGCAAGTAGCATCTAACAGTTAATATCACAAGGGAAGATTTAAATGATTTCTATCAGCTGTAGCTATTGATAAAAAAAATTGCAACTTTAGAGGTTTCTGAAGAATGGTAACCTAGGGGAAAGATAACAATCTCCTAGTTACAATCGGAATTAAAGTTATTAACAATTGGAAGTATTAAACTTGATTGTCACTGGTGATCAATGGACATTTTGATAGTATGTGTGAAATAGATTGTTTCGGAACAGAAACAGAAACAAATTCAGCTTTCATATGGGAGGGTTAGGTATCTTAGAAATACACAACTGAGTACCATATAGCATGAAATTCAGAACTGTCTTTAAATGATTTAATAACTGTTGGGACAGCGTAGTTATCAAATTGTCCTGTAAAGTTAGCAATAGTAAGGGAAGCTTAGTAGAGGAAGATGCAAAAGACTTCACCAAAGAAAAAGTCATTTGCTCAGATATAGAATGAGAGTTTTATGGTTCGATATAATGATACATGGGAAAATGTCTTGGTATTATAGTTGACCACAAGCTTTTTAGCATGTATGGTAAAACGGCAGATATAGTTTAAAGCTGCGTTAATTGAAATATTCAAGTAATGGCTATTCCACTCTGCTTTGACTAGAACCCAACTTAGTTTCTTTGTGAGCTTCTGTGTAACAAACTTTCATATTTAGAGAAATGAAAACTGTTTCAAAGAAGGACAGTGAGGATAGTGAATGGAATAGAAACTAATTCTTATGAAGATAAAACAAGAAAATAGAAAAATACAGCATTTTTCAAGAAACTGAAAGTTTGCCATATAGAAGAAGGTCAAGATGTATTCACCATCAATCCAGAATTCAGGGCAACGATTACCTTACAGAAAATCAGATTCGAATTCATTATTGGGAGGGGGGGGAATCTAAAAATGTTTTCAGAGTGGAACCAAAGGAAGAAATGAGTTCCCGGTAATAGATGAGTTCAAATAAAAACTACAGCAGTTTCAATTAGGGCTACTTTAATTTATAATTCTTCATTGAACTTAACGGTCTAAATGATACTTTTTAAATTGGTGATTAAGTGAAAACAATCCGTACATTGAGAGTATGTTTATATGACTCGCATCAAAGTAAGATTTGGCTACTGCTTTGTCTTGCTCTCTCCCCCCCCCCCCCAAATTTAGTAAGGTTTTATTATATACCATCCAGTTCACCGTGGCAATGTAGTGTGATAGTGCTCCATCTAAGCCAGTGTAGTTGTGATTTTTTTTTTTAACAAGGGCAAAAATTGCAAATATTTTTCAATATTTCTTTTGACAGAATCTCAGTCCAACCACTCAAATCAATCTGACAGTGGAGTTTCAGACACTCAAACAGGACATGTCCGTTCCCAAAGTATTGTTAGCTCCATCTTTTCAGAAGCTTGGAAGAGGGGAACTCAGTTGGAAGAGTCTAGCAAGATTAATGTAAGTATAATCACTGTTGCAAGGGAATGCCCCCATTACAAAATCCGGACTTGTTTGAAGGTCCTGTTGTTTTGTTTTGTTTTGCTTTTAATGCAAAATGCCAAAGTGTAAACCAACAAAGCCTCCTGACTTCTGAAAATGTGTCATGGTGGGGAAGAGTTGCTTGAAGTCCCCCATTGGACTCCCTGTCCCCTGATCCCCTGTGTTTCATGCTGTGTTTTTGTTCTTGTTTTTCCTGTTGCCCTGCAGTCTCATGTGGCAAAAGCAAAACCTGGAACAGCTCTGAGCTCCACTGCAGTGATGGCTTAAGCAGGGGTAGAGTTAAGGTCAGGGGCTTTGTTTGAACTATTAACCTGGGGGAATGATGCAACCCAAATCATGCAGACTAACTTTTCCTGAATTCTAATCTTTAGATTTCTTGATCAGTTCACAAGTGTTTGAACCTGTCCTAATGTAATTTGACCCTGTCATGCTGTCCACATTAATCTGTGTAGTTCTGGTTTAGCCTGGGTTACTGAGCAAAATTGCCCAGAATGAAAGATCTCCAGTATGCTATTGCTTGCCAAACTTCAGATCCCTTTTTGCAATGGAATCCGTGGCTTTATAATGATTAACTGAAAGCACTGCATAATCAGGAGGGCAAGGCATTCATGTGGATTTGCTTATTTCGGTTCCATACATTAATACAAACATGCTAGAAAGTAAATTACCTTAACACCTTGACCAGAACTCATCAATACCTTCTGTTTTGTTTCTCTCCTTGACTATTTGCTTCCTCCCACAAAATACTTGTGCATGCCTTTCCTTTTGCTATTTTATGGAGGTTTTGATAGTTTTCACTCTGCACTCACTCAAAATTGCTTGTTCACGTACTTTTTCAGCTCTTCGGCTTATTTTTTTTTTTCTAGAATTGTGAAGGAATTGCACTTTGAAATATCCCAAAGGGAGATTTTTTTTTTGCAATGCCCACATTCCTTAGTGCAGGGGTGTCAAACCCGCAACATCACATGTTTCGCTATGATGCATCCAGCCCGTGGGCCAGCAGTTTGACATCCCTGCCTTAGTGGAATTGCAATCCCACACGAGTGCTGTGTAATTTTTTGTCTGTTATCCTTATTTGTTAGTTAAATGACACCTTTTCTTCAGTATTTTATAGTTCAGTTTAATTAGGTGTATTGAGCACACAGGATCATAATTGCCAGTATAAATGATATTTGCATGAATTTGTTTTTTGAACATTTCACTTTTATTTCTCCTATAGGCTCGAATGGACTCAATAAACCGACCCTTCGCTTCACTTGTATCGCCTTTATCTCCACAAACTAAAACAGCTACTCCATATACAGCATCACAACCATCACCTCCCCTTCCACCTCCTCCCCCTCCCCCACCTCCCCCTCCGCCTCCTCCACCCCCACCTCCTCCCCCTCTTCCTGGTCAGTCTGTGCCATCTGGAACCAGCTCAGCAACAGTGTTTGTGAAATACAGCACTATAACAAGACTACAGAATGCCTCTCAGCATGGGGGGCTTCTCTACAAATCACCTATCTCAATACAGCAGCCACCATCCCCACTCCCGCCTCCAGGAAAACCTCAGAATTTAATACCTCCTAATGGTATAATCCCACCCCCGCCGCCGCCTCCTCCTCCCCCTACCCCAGGATCAGCAATGGCACAGCTCATGAAACCTGTGCCTTCCAACCCATCGGTACCACAGTTCACCCCACCACCACCTCCTGCTCCCCCTCTCAAAATTCATCAAGTTCACCAGAACATTGTTCAGTCTGCAACTTTGCCACCACCACCACCACCTTCAGTGCCAGCACCCCCACCCCCACAAGCTCCTCCTAAGCCTACTATGACACTCCCTACACAAAACAGTGCAAAATCCATCTCGGCAGTTGTGACACATCCAGTGCCGCCACTTCCTGTTCCTTCAGCAGTAAAGAAGCAGCCAAGTTTCCCCACCCCACAAATTCCATTATCTCCTGCCTCACTAGGTCCGTCTCCTCCACCTACTCTGCCCAAGCAACAGAATCACTCTAGTAAGCTTCCTCCCTCTCCACAGTCTCCTGTGCCATCCATTGTGAAGCAGATAGCCAGCCAGTTTCCGCCTCCTCCCATGCCAGCTTCGGAGCCCCAGCCTTTAAAACCTGCCCCTCTGAGTGTACCACCTCAGTCTCCTCCAGCTGTAAAAGCCAAGCCAAAATGGCAGCCAACCTCTGCTCCCTCTCCTGATTTTCCTCCTCCACCCCCTGAAGGTAGCCTAGCATTTCCTCCTCCACCTTCTCCTTCTTCCTCTCCATTGATAGTGTCCCCTACACCAGATAAATCAGGAGGTTCTCCAGTCAAAAAAGGTAGTAAGACTTCCAGTCCTGGAGGAAAAAAGCCACCTCCTACACCTCAGCGCAATTCCAGTATAAAATCAAATAGTTCAATTGAGTCCAGTGAACCTAAGAGACCTTCAGTGGATGTCTTAGTTAGCAAATTTGCACATCCCCCGGAGCCCTCTGGATCTCCTGCCAAGGAATCCCCAACTCCACCTGCAGCTCCTCCAAAGCCAGGAAAGCTCTGCCTGCCTATCGTTCTTCAGCAGGCAGGTATTTCAACAAAAGCACCAGCCATAGGAGCACTAGGCAAGGTTGCTGCTGAAGAATTTCCTTCTCCTCCATCAGATTCAGACTTTCCCCCTCCACCACCTGAAATCGATCTTCCTTTACCTCCCGTAGAAATTCCTGTTGTCTTTTCAGGCAATACCTCGCCAAAGGTTGCTGTCGTCAATCCCCAACCTCAGCCATGGTCTAAGTCATCTGGGAAGAAAGCTCCCCCTCCAACACGTCCCAAACGCAACGACAGCACCCGTCTCACGCAAGCAGAAATGATGGAGTCGCAGGTTGTTGTCAGTGCACAAGTGCCCACCTCGCCCAAGTCTGGCCTTAGTGTTCAGCCTGGTTTTCTGGCGGATTTGAATAGAACTCTGCAGCGTAAGTCCATCACTCGACATAGCTCCCTCTCCTCTGCCCGGATATCCAGAGCTGAGCCAACTGCTACAATGGATGACATGGCCTTGCCCCCGCCCCCACCAGAACTTCTGACAGACAAGCAGAAGACCAGCAGCTTTGGAGGTAGTCATATATTAGGCTATGCAACCTTACGGAGGGGCCCACCTCCAGCACCTCCAAAGAGGGATCAAAACACCAAACTGTCTAGGGACTGGTGATGTTTAGGAGACCCAGCAAACCCTAAGTGGGACACATCTGGTACTGAAATGCCTCCTCTTAATAGCTGTGATCTGAAGAAGTCTGTTTTAACAGTAGCTGTGGGTAGTGACTATGTTCACTTCCAGAAACAGTCCCTGAAGCTTTGCTGTTTGTGTTCTGTGTATTGGGGTGAAGAATGGGATGAGTACTACTTCAAAGTTCAAATACTTCATAAGGATTGGACCAAAATCTTTAACACTATGTTTCCTGCTGTTCAGGAAATAACTGTTGTCTGTCAGTGTGGGAAATGTGGGTGCATGTATTATAAATGTAGGTATATAATATATTGTGAAATATTTTGTTGGAATTGTAGAGGCTCACCAGAATGTTTTTGTACATCTGTATTTATTTCAGTCAACTGAGGTTTTTATGAAAAATTGGATGATGTATTAGAAAAATCATTTTGCTTTTGAAAACAAAAATGTTGGGGCACCTTAGATCATTGGAAACCTCTTTGGGCAGTTGGTGACGGGTATGCAGGGCTGACAAATTCTGTCAGTGTCTGCACAGAATCAATTGATTGAAAAATTTGGACGCAGTCTACCAAAACATTCTGGTTGTAATACTACTGAATAGAAATCCATGTAGAGAAAAAGAAAAATGCTGTACAGTGGGGCTGCAGTTCAAGATGTTGGGTAATAAAGGCATTCTGTTTTAGAATTCTTAAGGGGAGAAAGCCCCTTAAAATACATCAGAACTTTCTCCTGAATAAACACCAGTAGGATTAGGCTTAAACTTAATGTTCCAGTCGCACATTCTAAAGAGGAATGTGTAATTGAACATATCAGAATGTTGCGCGTTGGAAACTGGATCATTATTCCCCAAACTCTCAGTGGGATTATTTGGACTAGTGATACTCTAGTTAAATTAACAACATTTAATTCACTGTCACGTACACATCTGTTTTGGTTAAGTGAAAGTGGTGTACCAGAAGATACTCGAGATATGTTGTTGTCATGTCTGATCACCATCTCTCTTAACTGGTACTGCTCATCAAATTGCCTGTGTGCAAGTTTACACATATAGTGGGTGCATCTCTTTCTCTCTCTCTCTCTCTCTCTCTCTCTCTCTCTCTCTCCCTCCCTCCCTCCCTCCCTCCCTCCCTCCCTCCCTCCCTCCCTCCCTCCGTCCTTCTCTCTCTTTCTCTCTCTCCAGAATAAAACTTAATTAGACATACAAATATTACAAACTCTTAAAAGGAAAAATCTTTATAAACATTCAAAAGCAGTAAATAGTGAGGATGCTTCAACAGAAAAAAAAAAAGAACCTGGCAGATGAACACCATAGGGTAACACAGCTTAAATCAAAAGAATGCATCTGAGGTAGCAACTATAAAATTGTGTTGAAAGGACACGAGTGATGTGCATTTTAATATAAAAACAACTCTTAAGAGAAGCATTGGTTTCAGCCATCTCACAATTTATGGCCCTTAAGTGAAATAACTCTTCTTCCACTAAGATTTGTGGATAAGTCAAATGCTAATTAAAGAACCACTGTTTTACTCAGAAATATCCTAGGATGTATAAAACAACTTAAAATACTACTGTACATAGGCTGTGCAATAGAGGGGATTGTAAAAATGTGTTTTTAAATTGGCAGTTGTAACTGGTGGTTCATGAAGACATCATCACTGGTTTAAAAGAGGATCCGAAGTTACTAGTTTGGGTTTGAGTTTGAACCCTCAAAGGTTAGCACAGTCCCATCCAGGTATTCTAAATGTTTGGGTATACCAGAAGTTACTTCTGAAGATTATACATTTAAAATGACTAATCACACACACACACACAACTGGACTTCTGTTAGGATGATTACAAAAGGATTCATTGCAGAGTATTTGTTCTAGAACAGTGGTTCTCAACCTTTTTAATGCCGCGACCCCCAACAGGTCGTAAGTCGAGGACTACTCAACCGGTTGTAAGTCGAGGACTACTCAACTGGTGCAGCACCGTTTCCCGAATGGGACTTTTGGCAAGCTCAGCAGGGCAGAGATGGTCTTTCAAAAGCCAATAGAATAAAAGGGAGTAGCACAGCTAAAGAAAGGGGGGGGGGGAAATGGCGGACTGCGTTGTTTGGCGACCCCCGTGAAATGGTCGTTCAACCCCAAATGGGGTCCCGACCCCCAGGTTGAGAACCACTGTTCTAGAAAGAAGTAAGAAAAGGTGATCTTTATTTTTCTTTTGTAGAACCTGGGTCAAAAATAACTCTAACAACAGAAAAGTGGTGCTATGTCATCTAATACTGAAATCACAGTAGATGATTTGCTCTGCCCCAGATGTATCCTGGGCATATTTTTCCTGTTTGACAATATTTTACCTGAGCAATAATAATATACCATTTTGTGCATTTTTAAAGTACTGCTATTAGAAGGCACTTTTTTTGTACCTTTCAAAGTGTTTGGGATTACAAAGTGTCCTTAGCTATTAACCACATTTGCATTAGTGTACTTTAACACTTATTTGGTTTATATCTTATGGTATGGTGTTTATTTTTTTTTTACTTTTTAATTTTGCTTCTAGAATGCATTGATAGTTCTGCCTTTTTATTCCTGTCGGTTGCTGCTGCTGCTGTTGCCGCTGCCGCTTGTTGGTGTCTCATTTTGTGAATATGAAACTGAAAGAAATGAGAATTTCTGGGGGGGGGCAGAGTTTGTTCACCTCATTCCAGAGTTTGTTCACCTCATTCCTTTGAACCTTCATGTTCCTTTGGAGACAGGTAGTGTTGAAGTACCACCTGAATTCACTCATTGTAATAAAATATTGTCATATGCAAAAAAATAAGCAGTATCCACCTATGACAAAAAAAAGGCAATAGTTAAATATCTAAGGACATCAAATTAAATTATGTGCCCTAAGGATGTCAGTAAGGGAGGTTTCTGATACAGAATTTGACCTGGTCAGCAGCAGCAGGAGCACTGAGATGCCTTTTTCCAAACTTTCGGTCTTTTAAAAAGAATATTAATATAGAACTTTCTTTCCTGGTTGTTTCCATTTCGCAAGTAGGTTTCTACACTTTATTTCTCTTAAGGTGATACGTATCTTTTAGCAACATAATGAACTCTCTTTACCTACTTTCTTTGCCCCTTTTGGTTAACTTCCTCTGGCTTAGTACATCACTGTTTCTGCCTTTGCGGGTCTTTCTTTTTCAACCCTTCTCAAGGGCCTTTGGTTAAGTGTCTGAGAAGTGATGAAGCATCACAGAGCAGCATCAGTTTAATTGGTTTTGAACCAAATAGGTAGAAACATTGTAATTCCTTTCCAAAGGCCTCAATTGTATACATGTATCAGATTGTTCAAGCATTCGTATTTTCTTTTCGAATTAAGATTTTAAATATGTTTAATGCCCATACCTCAGGGCTACAGTTTTCTTCAAAAATTTCCCCAAAAGGCTATAACCCAGGAGATTATGGCATATCTTATTAAACTTTCAAACTGAGAAGTCAAAAGATAAGAATATTTAACCCAGAGATGGTTAAATACCTGAGAATATCATGGAGAGAATGTCTGAATTATGGTTCAATTCAGCTTTTGATGAATAAACATCTCATTTCCACTGGCATTTCTTTATTTTTTTGGTTCATACATTGATCAGTGAAACATATATTTGAACAGCTTTTTGGCCTTAAGGATTTAATTCTTAAAGAATATAAATTGGGTTTTAAACTAAACAGGGTTAGACCCAAAAGCAAATCTCTTGTTAGAATTATTCTGCAAGCAGGTATGTCCAAAATACATCCTAATAACAATAGGATGAAACGACTTTTCACAATATTTTCAAGTGACTTCTATATGCCCTCTAAACCTATTAATAAATTATTCTTTTGAATAATTCTTGAAAATGTATAAAAGCTAAAAATATTGTTAAAATATGATCAAACTATCTTTATTGAGAGGAATTGGCATCAATCCCTATGGCTGCCCGCAGTTGGGCTGAGGACCATGGGCAGGAAAATTGTGTATCACAATTATCTCTCTCCTACTATTAACTATTTCTCTGTGTGCTGCATATGTTATGTACGTATACCTCTAACCTTACATGAATGGGTGGTTGGTCCTATGATACAGCTGATTGTCATCTAAAACTATAGCTCTCATTTTCTTAAAAGCATAAAACGTTTGCCATTTGTGATTATGGAACTTATCATTAGATAGCAAACTACTTCGATCATATCAGTAATCTACAGGCTTATGTGATATACAAAAATGTTATTTGGTATCTGCTGCTTCAGTGTAGGGTTCAGTTAAAATTTGGTTCCTGGATTCCCTTCAGCTAATTATAGATATTATATTCTTCCATAGTTCATACATTTGAAGCTTATAGAAGCTTCAGTAAACGTTAACAGAAAGGAGCAGTATTTTGTTGCATTGTTATAATGACTGGCCTACTCTGTCTGGTAGAAATCAGAATGTGTAGATTGGAGAGTTAAGAAAATCTTTAGACATGCTCTCAGTAGTGAATAGGACAGCCCCACAATATTGGGGATGACCTTGTCTACCAAAGAAAAACGGGAGAGCCTGCGGTAGTTCTGACAAGGATTGCTCACATCTTCATGAACGCAGGCCATGGTACAAATGTTTTGGAAAACAAGGTTTCTGATCCAAATGGGTATTGCCTTTATTTTAATGTGGGTGTATCATTCTAAGATACCTGTTTGTGACTGTCCTGCAACATACTCTCCCCCTCCCCCCAAATCTTTGTATTTTGTCATCAGAAAATGGGTGAGGTCAATTACTTGTCTGCTTTTCCCCGCTTTTACTATTTTGTAATTGTAAATTTTAGGATTGTAAATTGTGGAAAGAACATTTGTTTTGCAGCCATTGGACGGAGTCAGTGGTGGTGATTCTTGTATCTGATTATGCACATGTAAACCACCAATGTTAAAACAATGATCTTGTCTGTGTAGCCAATTTGTGCTATGTGCTGTAAATATATTCATATGTTTACCGCTTTACAGGAAAAAATTGCACATTGTTTCTGAATGGGACTGCCTCCCCATATCCTTTCCTTTCAAGAATGAAAGCTCATTGCAAGTAAGAACTTACGGTTGAGAAGAGCTCTTTCTATATAAATATTCTATAAATATGTATAAATATACTTTTTTAAAGCATGGGTAAAGAATTAAAAATGCATTCATGGAAAGTACTAAGAAATCATTATACAATGGAATATGCACAAGTCAATAAAGATATAGTTAAATTTGTGTGAGATTGTTTCAAGAGATAATTTGCCTCTGCTCTAGAAGGCATTTACATGGCAAAATTGCCCACCAATATTTGGGAAATTTGTATATTCTTTCATGTAAAGCAGGGGTGTCAAACTCAATTTCATTGAGGGCCGCATCAGCACTGCAGTTGCCCTCGGGGGGACGGGTGGGTGCAGCCTACTGGGTGGGTGTGGCCTATTGGGTGGGCATGGCCAGCTCCACATCGTTCGCGTCAAGAGTGCCTGTGGGGGCCTGGGCAGGAGTGGGACAGATCTGAGGGTCTCTGGCAAAAGGGGGTGGGACCAGGGCAAGTGCCAAGTGGCACGGTCCACTGGAGGAGCCTCATTGTTCCTCTCAGGCCATGGGGGGGCTGGATGGTGGTGTGGGCTGCACGGAGCCCTGGGCAGCAGAGGTCAAATGCCGAGCCTGGCCCTCAAGCACCCGCAGCACCAAGCCCAGCCCCACTTTCCCAAGGGGGCGCCCAGCTGCACTTATCTCCTCTTCAAGGCTGCTGCTGCTGTGCTTGCTCTCCTTAGCCAGGTTGTTCGTGATGGGTACCAGGGCAAAATCAGAGGGAGACTGAATGCATTTCAGCATAGATAGCCACCACAAAATTGTACATTGGCTCCCGGCTGGCCGGCCTGGGCCAGAGCCAAGGCAGAGGGGGCTGTTCCCTCACTGTTTCCAGGATGGCTTCGGGGCCGCATCCGGCCCCAGGGCCTTGTGTTTGACATGTCTGATGTAAAGACTCCAAATAAAAATTGAGATTCCTTATCAGACAGTTGGGCAATTAGTAATGTGTTCTACAATATCCAAATTTAGTTTAACAGAGAAGGTAAGGACAGAAAACTGAACGGTCAGAAGCCATAGCTTTATTTGCCGCATAAGCTTCCCAAAATACAAAGCAAGCATTACTGCTGCTACTGTATTGATTTATTTGTGCATAGATGTCAGGGCCCCCCTGGGCAGTCCAAAGTGGAAAGTGGACCTTGCTGCGTGCTGTACAGGTTGAGCAGTCAACTTTTAGATGTTGGAATAAGTTTTTCCCTCCTCAAGGCGGTTCCGCTGGATCTTATACTAGAAGCTCAGCAAAGTCTAGATCGCCGCAGCTTTTCCACTCTGGACCCAGAATGTTTCTTAAAATGTGTGCAGACTTCAGTTTCTATTGATTGAAAACTCTTGTAAGCAGTGCTGCTGTTCTGTTTCCAAACAGTGTTCTGGATTTAATGAGGAAAGGCAGTGTGTAAATTAATGAATTGTGAAGGGTATATAGCCAACCAAGATTGCAGCAGAGGAAGGGACATCTCTTTTCTAACAGTGTTGGCATCTTGGGAGAGGAGAGGCCTGCCTGCACTTAATTCTTTCTTGAGAAAAGAAGTTCTTTTAATATAAACCTAAGTACACCAGAGGTTTAATATATTTTGTTCTACTCCCCCCCCCCACATCCAAATGTAATAAAATACATCACTAAAAAGCTTATACATTATGATTTTCACAATGTAATCTTTCTTTTAAAAACTGTTCTGGGATCAGTTATCTTAACCTTGAACTTTGAATTGGAAGGCGCAAGGCCTTTGTATGTAGATGTAGCGAAATTATAGGGGAGCTAGCCCCTTCCCTATAATTACGTTGTTAAGGTAACATGTTAATGCTACATAGAAGCTTTTGTGTAGTCTTACACAGATGTAAGAAACTGCCGTGTGGCAAACAAGGTAATTTATTGGTGCAGAATCTGGCACTATCAAACCTAAGGTTTTATTTATTTGGTTAGTTTAGATTTTTACCCTGCCTTTATTACTTCATAAGTAACTCAAAGTAGCAAATACTTCTTCCTCCTATTTGAACTATGTGCAAAGCACATTTACTTCTGAACTGTCAGATCTATTAATCTGGTAAATGACTTTATATCCTTTTTTAGCATGCATTCTCAACACACTTTCACATAATTCCTTATATTATACATTGTGATGAAAACTGAATCAGTTGCTCTGCCTCAGTATTTGAGTTCCTTGTGTATTTAACCATTTCAGTATACGATTTTGAAAAAACACAGCACTAAACCTTAATGTCACCTTCATTATTTTGGCTGTTTACCTGTAGGATCCACATGATCTTTATTAATAGTAGGAATGCATTTTCTGCAGGTTCCAGTCCATTAATCACTACACACTTGAATTGGGTTCCATTCAATCATTTGAACCTAATTCTCTCCAACTTTTTATTTGCCAAAGGATCTAGGATCCTCACCAATGCTGAATTCTACATTTCTAAAAATGGAATACTATCATCATCTTTCTAATCCTATGTGGAAGAATATCTTGCATGTCTTTGCTACTTCTGGTTTATTTAGGGCATGTTGCCCAATAATTATTAAACTAGAAAAGTAGAACTCAGTGAAAGAAGGCTGCATGAAAAGTACACAGATGATGAAGCACACCAAATATTAGGAGCCCTGAAACAGTATTAAGAAGTTTTAAAACCTTCCCCAAACTATCATTTTTTTCAGCTCTCCTTATAAGGAACTAATAGCGTACTGGAAATGTGAAAGCTTGCAACAATTTTGTATCTGATGGCACATGTTTTTATTATCTTATAAATGAGGTCTTTTAGTAACACCCTGATATTTATACATCTATATTTAGTTATTTCCAAAACAAAGTTACCCAGGAAAGGGGCAGTGAAACTCCACCAAGTGCTTTTATTTTTTAAGCATAAAACAGTCACTATTCAGTTCTTGTGGACACACTAAAGAAAACTGTTGATATCAACTCACAATTTGGAGAAGTGGCTATCTTTAGTGGGGCCTTAGATATAATTGTTAGAGGTAGAGATGATATTCTAGTACAACACTGCATCAGAAAAACAACCTGGTTTAGCTGATGAGATTCAGGTGGTTATTGGACACCAACCTGTTCGTGCAAATATTCAAACTGATCAACCTATGTCAAAAGGAGGACACTGACCAAAACTTAGGTTGGCAGTTCACTACATCTAATTTTTCCCTCTTCCAAACTCTCTTTAAGGACATCACTTTAACAAGCACATATCATATTATTTTTGGACTTAAAATATTTATGAGCGCCTTCATTTTAATTCTTAGGCTACTAAAAAAAAGATGCATATATAAGCCAGAAACCAATAGGTTTTAGGTCTAGAAATAACTTAAGTGCACAGCAAAAAATTAATCACGAAAAAGTTCAAGACAATTGTCAAGAAGTTAGTGCAAGTTTTGGGGGATTTATTTATTAGGACTTGTAACAAGAGGGTTTAGTACACAGCAACAGTTAATTCCAAATACAATTTTTAAAAAATTAAAAATTTATGTCTCCTCCCTCATCCCACCCCCAAATGGTTTAATGGTATACACAATAAATCAAAACCAGCAAGGCTTCCTTCCCTAAAATCCCAAAGTTCTCACACTACTGGGATACTTAAGAGCTCAGAACCCACAGCCACTACTAGTAAAGCGGCTCATTTTAAATCAAATGTCTATTTTTATATGATAGCAAATGAAGTTTGCCACACAACGAGGCACATAATTCAATATCTGAAAAACAGCACCCAGTGTTTATGAAATTTCAGCCAGAACTCTTGAAAGACTCCAACTGAAGCCACTCTGTGCCATTTCCCATGTACTATATGAAGGATATAATGGAATCTATGAGTAAGAGTGATAGTACTGATAGACTGCGTAAGGTTTAAACTTTAGGCCTAGGCAGGACTGGTCATGACATTTTTTGTCTTGAATTGCTGCCTATTCTGCTGCAGTAGGGCAAAAAAGCACCATTCTTCTATCTATAGCATGATTTTAGCATTGCCATTGATCTGGTATACATACATTATAAGGTGTAGAAGACTTTACAAATTCTCTTCATATGTAAACCTAACAGCTCCCTCTGGATTTCCAATGGGATTCACTTGTCAAATTCAAATCTATCAGCTTTTTTTAAAAAATGTACCAGGCTAAGATCTTTGTTTTGAGCAACACCAACTTGTATTTTTTAATGCAGTATCCTGTCTAGTAAAAGTGATGTATAATACTGTATATGTTAGACAGGTGTATAATCTCTGAGAAATCTATAATCAGAGAACTTCTATATATTTCTAATTGGTACATCAGCTCTTACAGACTATGTATTGATGCTCAAAAATCTGTCATTACATAGCTAATTTAATCCTTTCTACTTCAACATCCCCTTCATTGATGACATTTTCAAATACTGCTATAAACAAAGGCTGCTCCAACTATCCAAAACTGGAAGATATGCTATTCTTGCTAGTTTAACACACTTCATTTCCTTTACATTTTAACTTCTGGAGCAGTTCAAAACCATCTACGCTAGCTATATCTTTGATTTTTCTCTAGCAAAACATGCCTACAGTCCTGTACACCAGAAACATGTTTTAAGTCCTTGTTCTTACATGAAAAGTTTAACTCCTCACTTTTCACTCCACATAGAAATCAGGGATAAATTACAAAAATAATAAAGCTAAAACCACAACACAATCTGCAAAAGTTAGACCTCCCACCCCTCCCAACAAAAGTCTTATCTGTTAGAGATCACCCAGAACATTCACTTTTCTCATTAAATTCTCCTTGTCCCTTCCCAAATGTTGCCAATTTAACCAAGGTCAAGTAACAAATCCATAAGCAACATTTCTAAGCCAGTCTTATAAAAGAATGTAAAATTAAAGCAAAAGCAGCCAAACAATATAAGACTCTGGACCATATTCTTTGCCTCTTCCTCCTATATATTATGATGCCAGCTCTCAAATGAGGAAAAGGTTTTCAATTTTTACTGAAGGAAAAAAAGCCCCTAAAAAGGACAATCCTTAGGCCTGAAGGCACCAAAATATTGTTCGTATGATAAACAAAAAGCACTTTTCCTCTAGGACAGTAATATTCAAAGGCTCTGAGGCTTCCCAATCTTCTGGAGGGCTATAGAAGCAATCTTTGTCTCCCCCTCGATGCAGCCACAGCCCCACGTTATCTCCCCCAATCATTTATATGTTGAGGACGGAAAGATAAGAATTAGGGTTGTCATCCTTTACATTTCCATTGATTCCCACCCTTAATTTGGGGAAAGCTCATCTTAAATTCAACTACTTGGCTTCTGAATTTTGACAGCGTGTCTCAGAATGGTAGGGGCTCAAACTGGAAGTTGAGACGCTACATGAAGCTGAAGGGCTGCTAATTTGTACCACAGCAAACAAATGTTGCTTTCTAAATGAAGCAGAAGAATGTTCATGAACATGGATTCGTGTGCCATAATTGCATGGTTGGAAAAATGAGCGCTGAGGGAATCAAAGCCGTTTTATGATGAAAGAAAAGCTAAAAAAAAATTTGACACTGAGCTCTTTTTGGACTCCCCACTACTTGTTTTTCCCCACAAGATACTGAAACAGAATGTGGAGTGTTCAACATATTTAATAGCTTTACAGCAGGACTAGGGAAAGAGGATAGGTACAAGGGAGAAATCCAGGCCCCTCCTCTTCACCCCTTTTTCTTAATTAAACACCAGTGGAAAAAAAAAAGTAAGTTGGGAAAAATAGTAAATGATATTTGAAAAACCACTCTCACTGTCTTGATATAACATGCAGTCTATGTAACATTACATACACACAGAGTCCGATTACTTTGGGCCTTGTACATAGCATCATCCATAGGCATTCTACATAGTTCAAAATTGTACAAAATAAAAAATAAGCATAAAATCCAAGGATTATTTTCACAACATTAGTATTGCAGAATAAAAGCATTAAACCAGCAGGAGGCAAGGAATCTGTAAACACCCTCTGCAGAACTTTGCAGGAAGATGATCTTGGTCTGTCTGGAGGATACAGGAAGCAGTCATACAATCAGAGAGTTCCAATTTCTTATAAGGGAACTGTGGCCTTGCCCTCCATAGAAGCTGTACAGTTTCTCCCCAAACAAGCAAATGAGTAACATCTTATAAAAATCATGTGATACTGAAAGCACTTTGAAACAGGAAAACAAAAAGGCTATCAATAAAAACATAAACCTTCTCCAACCCTCCCTTCCATGGCCAGGAAATAGTCAGGGTTCATTTATGTTCTGCCATAGAATCATCATTCAATTTCTATTTGTTCTAGGAATAAAATGTTGTGGTTTAGGTCTTGCAAAGGGACAGAGTTAAGAATTCCCATTACCGACTTTTCAATAACAGAGCTCCAGGAGTAACACCAGTCTTTTCTACAACCAAAAACAAGTGTAACATTTCCCAGAACAGCAGAGAAATCACATGTGAAGGATTGTTAAGGCAACCTGTTTCTGAAAAAGGAAAATAAGATTGTTGGGGGGGGGGATGTGTTCTTCAGAAGTTGATGAAACCATAAAAAGCACAGTCCCAGACAATAACTGCATCAGTAATGACAAAAAAAAGCAGAATATGAAAAATTGGGAGAGGAAATTTGAATAAGCTGTATTGTTATGCTGCTTTCCTAATCAGCTGTTGGTCAAGTTTTCCATTCTAAAGAAATTGTTTGCAACATTAGCTCATAGCCTGCAGGCACAACACCCAGTATGTTTAAACGGATAAATGTTAACTTTAGTTTTTCAGAACTGAGCCACATAGTCCACAAAATTTGTCCAGAATAATTTGCCATAACCCCTGACCTCTTTTGTTCATCCTCTTGGTAGGCTCTGCAAAAGTCAGGAGAAATCAGGATGCCACTGATGAATGATCTTTGAAGCAGAATCCTATTCCAAAGCTCCAAACAAGTATTAAAGTTGTACTTTCAACTTCTCAGAGCAGAGTCTTCTCTTAGTTGGGTCCCCATGGAACAGTGGCAGCACTTACAACAAGCATACTGATGGAGGCTGCATTTCCATCTTCATATGGTAGGTTGTGTCTCAAGACTGTACACCTTAACACCACACATATGATATTACACAGTAATATCTATATGCATACCCATCATGCTTGGCCCTTTGTAGAAATTTACCCCTTGTGCTAATAGATCAGGCTCTCATCATAACTCATATTCTCAATTCATGTTTATGCAAGAAGCTGGCTCCAGTACTCTAACATCTACAAATACATCCAGCTTTCAGCGATACCCTTCTCTCTTAGACAAATCAAATCTGGATGCCTTCAAACAAGCCAGTCCTCAGTGATCCTTATTCTATAAGTACTGGAATCTGTTGGGGGTGGGGTGCCAGTAAAGGCAAACTGATGGTCACAGAATGCAATTGAACTCCCACCCATCTATACCTTGCAATACTGACACCATTAAAAAGGAGGAGGCAGCTTTGATTATCTTGTTTTTTGTTTTTGCGTGCCAGTGACAACAAACATTATCACAGTGGGTCTCAAGCTTTGAAATAGCAATCTATGAAGGGACCTGGATCTCATTAGCAGTCCCACTAATGGGAGCTACAACAATTGATGCTAAGTTAATGACTTTTGGTAGCACCTGAGGTTTAGTAATGGCACAAACAAGCAACAGAGGAAGCCACGGAAGCTATACCAACATAATCTGTATAATTCAGAAGATGGTTAGTAAATGTATGGCTAGCTTATGTGAGAAAGGAAGGCTGACTACTACAATCAGTGTTCCAAGTACATGAATACTGAAACATTATATTGAGCAATATACCCAGCAAATCAACTAAGAGTAAGAAGTATGAAATGTTTACAATGTCTTAAAAAGAAATATTATATTCTATGTATTTGGGGGAACATTTATTATGTTAATCAGCAGTGAGGAATTGGGCTGGGATTGTGGCATATAGGTAAACTTAACGTCTCACAATACACCACAGAGCTAATACAAAACCCTTCAGGTTCTTCTCATAATCCCCCCAATTCAGCTGCTATCAGCATGAAAACAGCAGCTAAGCAAAAGCAAGCTTCATAAGGACTATGGTCAACAGTACAGAAAAGAGTTCACACCTTCCCACCTCACTTCATGCCTGAATCTGATTGCTCCATGATTCTGGATAACAAAAATAAACATATTCTGTATATCCTCTAGCTTGTTGCTAAAATGCCTACAGACATTATAGCAGATTTCCATTGCCACGTTGGAAAATCACCCACATATTTACTGGTGGGAGAAAAAATAATGCATGCTTTTGTCAGTTTCTAAATCTGCATTCAAAGAAAACCAACAGCCCTTGGTCTGCTTTCACAGGTCCCGAATGGTATGTATTAAAATCTGAAATAGAACTAATGGCCAATGTCACTAGTACACATTTATTCTGAATTGGACAGGCTATAGTCAACTGAAGCAGGCTAATCAATTCAGACAAAGCCTTTCTCTATAAAATACTTATATCCCTTTCTAACTCCCAAATTATAAAACACGAGGCAATGGTAATTTTAGAAGACTGCCGTCAGCCTTTGTAACAACAAGGGCTAAAGCCTGACTGAAAGCAGTTTTTGAACACTATCAGGAGGGCAGATTTAAACCATTTCATAAATATTTTGCATACTGAGGGCTGAATAAGGCTGCTATATAATTATATGAAGGACAGAGGCCATTTTTAGAATGTCAAGCTTTATCGTCCTTCATGATCTTTAGTCCAACTTTTTAAAAAATAATTGAATGATATAAAAGAGGCCCAGTTTATGACTTGGAAGTCTCAACATATTGGGAGATTATCTCTGATGTTACGTCCTCCTGTAAGAAGAAATGAAACAGCTCCTTAAAAGCCTATATCAAGCTATATGTGTGAAACAATTGCAGAATTGCTGTATTAGAGATGCAAGGAACCAAGCTGAGACCCAGTCGGTGTGTGATATCAGAATGTTTGCCAGAACAATATCACACATCCAGCAGTAATATGTGCAGAATAAGGAGGGAGAAAGAGATGGCAGATAGCCTAACAAAGCCTTCAGAGCTAACATCCAAGATGCCCCAATACCAGGCATGGTATTCCTGAGGAAAAAAAAAATCCCATGTTTTGACTGAATGGGTCTCAATTTGAGTAATGGATCCCTTTACTGGCAAGTTCATTACATCTCTGTATCTACATGTTGATCAGTCAGCTCATTAATATTGGTCATTGGTCGCTGCTGGCAAATGGAAGAGCCATTCTTCAAAACAATTCAAATCACCATTTTATAAAAAGGAGAAAAGGGGAGTGGTTTTGTTACAATGATCCTTCCTTCAGGTGCCCAGGTTCCCCCCAAGCTGCCAAAGGGACCTGGCCAGCCCAACAATCTCTTGGTTCTGTCTCTTGCCATAGTGGTCTTCATTCTGAGTAGTGCATGATGGACTCTACATAGTTTCCGGGGAAGAGTCCAGTTACTCCATTCATCACACCTTCATACCACCCATCATCGTTTTTCTTAATGACGTAGATGATGGCACCTTCCTGAAAGGAAAGTTCATCTTCCTTGTCTTTAGTGTAATCATAAATTGCCACAACTAGGAACAAGAAGAAAAACAAAATTAGCATTTCAAATAAGCAGTTAAACACAAGGCAATTGCAGCTTTCACTTACGTGGTCTCTTGTATCAAAAAGTAGGCATTTTCTTTATTGGCTAGTCATGCAAGAATTCCTTCCCATTTACAGAAATAGCTGCTAACCCAAAATTGTAAAACATGTAGACAGGTTGAGTCTAAAATGATGGAATACTAAATTAGAAAAAAAAAAGATAACACACTAAATGACTGATTCCTCAAAAGTGTCCACTGACGGAGCAACAAGCTTTCTTTGCTAGTAGAAGTGGAGTTCAATCCATACATCTTTCTTTTAACAGTGATTTTCCAGGGTATGTGATGCAGGACTACTAACAATGCTTTGGTGGCTTAACGGAATGCTATTCATTTCTCATATGGCTGAAAAAAAAATGAAAAGCACAAAAATGATTTAGTGGAGAACTTTTCAAAAACCTCTTTGCCTTGTGCCCAAACACCCATTTTAGGCACAATTTCAGTTGGGTAATCTTGGGCCACTCACTCTCTTTCAGCTCTAATAATGAGGCAATGGCACATCACTCCTGAAATCTTGCCAAGAAAGCTACACGGAATTGTCCAATCAGTAGCCAGGAGTCAACACTGAGTCAAAGCAACTCCCTCCCCTCAAAAAACACAAGGTACTATACAGGTAGAACTATGACCATTCATTCAGCGATTGTTCAAAGTTATGGCAGTACTGAATGACAGTGGTTATGACTCATCGTCAGTGTTCTGGCTAAGCCAACACCCACACAGTCAGTCGATCACATAACCAGTTGCCAAGTACCTGTGTTCATATAATCACCATCTGTGATCTTCCCTGCTAGCTTTTCCAGAAAGTCAAAGGGGAAGCCAGCAGGGACTGTCGCAAATCACTGGGTTAAGCCCCCTTCACCTGTGCACCAGCCCCCAGACCTTTGCAGTCATGTCACTTGCACCTCCATGCATACCCTCTTGGATCTGCGTGTCGTGCATGTCCTCATGCATCCTTCTCACATCTCACTCTTGTGCAACCTCATGCATCTGATTCACTCCAACTGTCAGGCAGCCCATCACACCCTCACTGACCTGCGCAAAAAGCCTCTCATGCGCTCTTCACACTTTCCCTGACCAGCACTTCTTGCAGACCCCCTCCCTGCACCCCCACATACCTCCTTGCTCTCTGCTCCCACCCACCCCCAGCAGCAGCAACTTACCTGCCTGCCAGCCTAGGACTTGCAACTTCCTGTCAGCTTCTCCACTAAGTTTGGTGTAAGAAACCAGCAAGAAGTTGCCTCACCTAACAACTGTGAACTTCAATTAACAATGGCAATCAAGATTATACAGACTGCATCACTAAGAGATTCAGTCATGCTTTATTACTGCATTGCTTGGTGATGGAAATTCTGATTGTAATTGCTGATGTAAGTCAAAGACTGCACAGGACACACGGGTGAAATGGAATACAATCACAGTTATTAGTAACTGATATAGGGAAACATTTTGAAAAACTGAGTGCATAAAATTAAATGTTTGAACTACATTCTTATCTGGACAGGTTTGGGTTCTTGGGGAAAGGAGCCGGTAACATTTTGTTTAAAAGGAGTTGGAGACGGCTAATAACAATTTTATTTCACGATCACATTGTAAGTCACACTTTGGGACACCACATAAGAGAGCAAAATATTCTTCTAGTGCTATTACTTGGCAAAATGTAAAAAAAACCTGTGACTCTCAAGCTCTCAGGATAAAAAGTGTGATATAATGTATCGCACTGAATTCAGACCCAAGGAGGGAGACAGACTTCCACCTACAACTCCAACAAACTAACCTTTCTCCAAATAGGTCCTTGGTGCCCATGGTGGATCCTCTTCAGCATAAGGATCGCTGTATTCCACCACAGCTGCTTCTTCTTCTTCATAATCCTCTGGAGGAGGGGGTGGTGGTGGAGATTCATCAAAAACGGCTTCGTCTACTGGGGGTGGAGGGGGAGGTGTGTCTGAAACTAAAAAATAAATAAATATTCAAGTTTCCTGCCTTGTTATGTAATAATAGTAATAGCAGCAGCAGCAGTAGTGGTAATAGTAGTACTAGTGGTAGTAACAGTAGTAGTAGTAGTGGTAGTAACAGTAGTAGTAGTAGGAAGAAGAAGAAGAAGAAGAAGAAGAAGAAGAAGAAGAAGAAGAAGAAGAAGAAGAAGAAGAAGAAGAAGAAGAAGAAGAAGAAGAAGAAGAAGAAGAAGAAGAAGAAGAGAAGAAGAAGAAGAAGAAGAAGAAGAAGAAGAAGAGGAAGAGGAAGAAGAAGAGAAGAAGAAGAAGAAGAAGAAGAAGAAGAAGAAGAAGAAGAAGAAGAAGAAGAAGAAGAAGAAGAAGAAGAAAGTTGGAACGGACCTTGGAGGTCATCAAGTCCAATCCCCTGCTCAGGCAGGTAACCCTATACCATTTCGGACAAATGGCTGTCCAGTCTTTTCTTAAAAACTTCCAGTGTTGGAGCATTTACTGCTTCTGGAGGCAGGTTGTTCCACTGATTAATTGTTCTAACTGTCAGGAAGTTTCTCCTTAGTTCTAGGTTGCTTCTCTCCATGATTAGTTTCCATCCATTGCTTCTTGTCCTGCCTTCAGGCACCTTGGAGAATAGCTTGACTCTCTCTTCTTTGTGGCAGCCCCTGAGATATTGGAACACTGCTATCATGTCCCCCCTCGTCCTTCTCTTCATTAAACTAGACATACCCAATTCCATCAACCTTTCCTTATATGTTTTACCCTCCAGTCCCTTAATCATCTTCGTTGCTTTTCTCTGCACTCTTTCTAGAATCTCAGCATCTTTTTTACATCGTGGTGACCAGAACGGGATGTAGTATTCCAAGTGTGGCCTTACCAAGGCATTATAAAGTGGTATTAATACTTCACGTGAAATAACAATTTAATAAATAACAGGACATATTTGTCCAGTTTATTTTACACATGAAACCCGAAGTGGAAATATAGACATGTGTAGTAAATAATGTTACTATTATACTGCAAAAGCTCCTTCATCCTTCAAAACTTTCATTGATAATGAGCAAAACCACAGATACACAAATGTGTGGATAATAAAAACTACAGATAATGAAGGCTACCCATATGCATAGCATTTATATAGCTTGTTTTATAGCAAAGAATTTGCAAGACTTCTTTGCTTCCCTTCTTAATGTAATATGTTTAATGGAGATAATCCAATAATTTTGGTATCCATCAGATATTATATATCATATACCGCCCAGCACTGTAGGGAAAGGAGCAGCAGAACCTGGGGGTGGAGTTAAAAGAGGGTTCTCTACGTAGCCACAAGTGAACTAAGTCCAACCTCCCCCCTCCCAATTCAGTTGACCCTTATCTAACTCCAAGCATCTGCTAATCATTAGTTGAGAAGATTCCTGTGCACACATAGGCTTTTTAGCAATGAATCAGTTTAACTGGACTTCCAGGTGTGGACCTGGTCTTTTGCACCTGACAAGCAGTATCTGAAAGCTAGAAGGTGCCTTGCTCTAACACAGGCCAGGGAAGAAAGGCAATTACCCTATTTTCAGAAGTAAACAAGATTAGAGCAACACATCCTGTGTCTTAGCTGCTGCCTGAAATTTGGACAGAATTTACCAGATAAATCTGATCAACACATCTAAACATGGAATCTCTACCAGATCGGGAGTGAATAGAGCAGTGTTTCTCAACCTTGACAATTTTAAGGCATGTGGACTTCAACTCCCAGAATTCCACAGCTAGCAATGCTGGCTGTGGAATTCTGGGAATTGAAGTCCACATGCCTTAAAATTGTCAAGGTTGAGAAACACTGGAATAGAGCGATGTAGCTATACAAAACTGCCTCTTACCCAAAGATCAATCAAGCTAGTGTATACAGGTAATTTAAGATAAGAAACAAAAATTGAAAAATCTTTACTTAAGTCACAGATCAATGAAAAGGCAAACTTACTGTTTTCCTGAACTCTGGCCACAAATCCCATTAACGGTAACTGAGGAGTTACCTGTAGGATGGAGGGAGGAGGTGGTGCAAGAGACACTGCAGTGAAGGAGTAGAAATAAATAGACTCTAATCAGAAATATAGTATAGAAACATGAAATAACTGGATAGACAATGTGGCATCTTACTAAATGCTGCCATGTGCGAGTAGGCAGCAATATAAATTTTCTAAATAAATAAAAAATAAATGCAATGGAGTGACTAGATAATTAACAACTAGGTAATATTAATTATGCAGAACTTTGAAAATGGATAACCAATTTTTTAAGTAACAATTTTTTTTTTTTTTACAATTCTGGGAAACATCTAGAGCAGGGCTTTTCAACCAGTGGTACAGGTACCACCTGTGGTACATTGGCACCTGGCAGGTGGTACGCGACCATCCTAGAAAAGTGGTAGCGGGGGAGGGGAATGAGCTGAACCGGTGGCAGCATTGCACAAGCCTGAGCAAGAGACGGCTGGAGCTGCAGGGCTGTTAGAGCTCAGCAGAAGCACCAGGATCAGCGCCAGTCTCCAGCCTATCGGTGCTTCTTCGGGGCTGTCAGGGCTCAGTGGAAGCGCCAGGATCAGTGCTAGGCTCCAGCTGGAGCTTGGCACTGATCCTGGTGCTTCTGCTTAACACTGAAGAAGCACCAATCAGCTGGAAAGCAGCATTGATCCTGGCACTTCTGCTGAGCCCAGAAGAAGCGCCGATCAGCTGAAATGTTGTAGCATCTCCAGGGTCTTGCGATTTACATTCAGATGCTTGGCAACTGATTCATATTTATGACGGTCACAGTGTCCCAGGGTCACTGCAACCACCCAGCAGATGGGGGGAATAAAAACCAAACACCCCTCCACCCCACCCCCGCTGCCAATCCTCAACAGAAATGCTCACAACAATGAAAACCTCGAACAGGAGGAAGACCGCCACCGGGTGGGCAGGCAGGTGTATTGCTCGGCTGTGGCTTGGGGGGCACTTTTTTCAGTGCCATTTAACTTCGAACAGTCACTAAGTGAAATGTTGTAAGTTGAGGACTACCTGTACTTTATCACTTTTTTCCCTTTTTTTTTTTTTTGGTCATCAAGTTTTTGACACTTTGCTAGGCGACTACTGGTACTCGGATACTGCCATATCCTAAAAGTGGTACAATGGGTGAAAAGGTTGAAAAGCCCTGATATAGAGTATCTATAGAATAATATACCTGAAACAGCCCTATTCAAATCATACTTATTTTATTATAGCAAATAAAATGTCCCACAATATTATTGTGACAAATAAAAATATTGCCACATTATTAATGCTTCCAAGACAAGACCTTTTTTCTTCCATATTTATAAATTCGATATAAATATGCACTCTTGACTCATTTCCACATAATTTAATCGAAATTAATTTAGGGCTGAGGATTTAACTGCATTTAAAGAGTGACTATATGGCTAAGTCCTGAATCGCATTTATCAAAATAATTATATTTGTGTAAGTTTACAATCAATGGAAGCAACAACTTTAATTATTTTCTTCAGATAAATTGAATTGGGATTACATGACTAATTATACATTACTGGGTACCTTCCATGGTATCTCAACACAGGAATAACAAATGTCAACAATTTATCTTCCAGCAGTTTATTTTACAAAGTATTCTACCAAGTATATTCAATACCAAGAGTTTTTGCAGAAGAAAATAGCCAAACCTAAGCAACTTACTTCACATTTTTAAAAAGTACATCCAAGTTTTGGAGGAGGGTTGTATATGTGTATGAACATAATATGTATGTACTTGTACATATATACCAGTGATGGCGAACCTTTTAGAGACTGAGTGCCCAAACTGCAACCCAAAACCCATTTATGCATCGTCGGGTGCCGGGTGGGTGTAGGCCATTGGGTGGGCGTGGCTGCAGTGGTAACGGCAGACAGGGTGGGACTAAAAAGTTCAATCAATCAATTCCAACTTTGCAAGTTCTTTTTTTTCCTGTGAGAAGTTGAAATTGACTGATTGACCCCCCCCTTTTTTTTTTGCACACGGCTGCAGAGGCCTAAAGCGAAAAGATTTTATAAAACCCAGCTGAAGGCCTAGGACTGGGGCGACAGTGCGCGTGCCCATAGAGAGGGCTTTGAGTGCCGCCTCTGGCACCCGTGCCATAGGTTCACCACCACCGATATTTATTTATTTATTTATGAGGCTTATATACCGCTTTAAGTGCAAGCACTCTCTAAGCGGTGTACACCAGTAAGCAATGTATATTGAGATTTGAACCGCTGACCTGCTGAACACAGTCAGCTAAAGTGGCCTGCAGTACTGCACTCTAACTGCTGCGCCACCTCGGCTCTTCCTAATTATAGGAATAGAAGTATACAGTATACCTTTCTATTCTATTCTCAGGCATTATAGAGGCATTACTGTGTCGAAAGACACTTAAAGCAAGTGAGCTTTTGGGTCTGGTGTTTCCATTACCAATTCCTTGGTGTTAACAAACACACTAGAAAATTTAAAGGAAGGACTTAATTATGTGCTATGATATACAGCAGGTTTTTGCTAACCATATCCAGCTATTTCTGGTTAATACTCTTCTCTTCTACTCTCCTTTAATGGATCAGAACTGGGAATTCTGCAGGGGCCTATCTTACCTGGATTCTGGCTATAAAATGGTCCTCCGTTGACCTGGCTTTGAAGGCTGTTCTGTGAAGTGATGGATGGAGGGCGCCTATATGGCAAAGAACCCCCTATTGTTGGAGGTGTGTGCCGAGTAGCCGGTCTGTTCATGCTGTAGAACTGAACAGGATGACCTATTTTGACAGGTTAGGAAAAAATATAAAATCTTGAGCAATGCATTTTTAGATGAAGTAATTCAATTTAGGCATGGCAATTCAAATTAAGTGTTTAAAAGGACATATGCTTTTCGAATGGAAAAAAAATCCTATGTGGATGAAAAGTATATTAAACAAATTTAAGAAGAAAACATTCTACGAGGTGATTCTCTTGACTGAAAAAACGTGGCTAAATATGAAAATAGATAACTTGATTATCTGGAAGTCAGCCTTTTAATATAATACATACATAACATTAATTATTTAATAACCAGCATATGTGAATGAGTTAATATGAACTGACTATCTACATTCTCTACACTTTTAGCCACAGTGCTCCTCAGTGAAAATGTAAAGAGTCAGAATGCAGAAGAACCTCATGTTAGATATTGTGTTGTTAAGCATTTGGTACTGCTCAAGTACAAATGGACTTCACTAATTACAAAATGCTGAATTTTTCATGCCTGGACTCTCCCCAACTGTTTTTGCATGAATTTGCATGTACAGCTCTTGCATCCACAATCTTATTATTGACCAGCTTGAGGTTACTTGGCTCAATATTTCAAAGGCAGGACCAAGGTAAAATCAAGGGCAATGGATTGGAACTGGTGGTCTCAGGACCTGTTGGCTCCTGGGGCTCGGAAATATTCTCTTGGTGGATTGCCAAAAATATATTTTTTTAAATGACAAAATATTGCCAACTGTAAAACTATTGGTGTTCATTCAGCATTACCATTCCAAATCTTGTGAGATATTTGATTTTAAATATTTTCAGCTTGTTTTAAATAAATATGTGATCAGGAGCAGTTGTTAGAACAGTTAACAGAACAAATATAATGTACTGTAATGCAGAATGAGAGCCAGTTTCGTGTAGTGCACCTGGCTAGAAACTGGGAGACCATGTATTCTAGTCCCACACTAGCTCAAAGCCAGTCTGGTGTTCTTGGGCTAGTCACTTTTTCTCGGCCCTAGGAAGGAGGCAATGGCAAATCTCTTCTGAAATGCTGCCAAGAAAACTGCAGGGATTAAGCCCAGGCAGTCTCTGAGAATCAGACACTATTGAATGGAAGAAAAACAAATCCAAAATTGATGAGAGTTTCTAGGAGCTATAATTTAAAACACATCAATTTCATATGGCCTAGTTGTGCTTTAGTACACATGGAAGGTTTATTTTCACTTCAGACCTATGTACGTCTTATGAAGGAATGCAATAAGCCAAGCTGATATCAGAAGCTGTACTATATGAAGTTCAGAAATAAAACTGTAGATAAATTGATTAGCACTAGAACTAGACTAGAGCATATCCCAGAGTTTGATATTCACAGAATTAATCTGGCAAAATGCATCTTGGTTGATTGTAGCTTCCATCTTTCTAATTTTGTCCAGAACATCAGGAAAACAAAAACCACTAGCTCCAAAATGAACCAACTTCAATCTGATATGGTTCTAGGGGAAAAGGCATTTTTCCTCACTCAAGAAGAAAAAAAGAAATAATGGAAATATCCATCTATCTAAAACGGGGGTGTCAAACTGCTGGCCCACGGGCCGGTTGCATCATACAGAGGCCGTGCCCACCCCAGCTGCGGCAATGCAAAAAAAGTCATGATACATCACGACATGTCACGTGAAGCGGCGTGTTTGACACCCGTGATCTAAAAGCTCAAAACATCTGATCAGCTTTAGGCAGGAATTGCACTTTTCAGTTGCCAGCAATCAACAGCAGAAACTCACCTGAAGAGGGATTGGAAGAGGCAGCAGGGGGAGTTGGAGAAGTGAAGCCATCAGCAAGGGGCTGAACCCCTGCAGCAGCAGCAGCAACATCTGGGGTAGCAGAGGATGGGACAGTGGCAGGAGTGAGAGGGGCGGAAGCAGAGGCAGAAGTAGCAGGAAGAGGAGAAGTGCCAGCAGAACTGGCAGGGGCTATGTTGAAAGAGGAGGAAGAGGCAGCATTAAGGAGTAGTTCAGGTTAGCAAGGAGGAGAAAAGCTTTTTGAATCATTGCTGTTAGATTTTGGTCAATTCTTTAAAAATTAGCACAAGAAAAAAGGAAATGGGCAGAGCAGGAATGTTTACAGTGAGGGGGTTTCCCATTACATATGCAATCCCATTACATATACAAAATAAAAAGAGGAGCAGGAATGCATTCTATACCGAAAAACTTCACAAAGCTAAATCATGTCCCGTTTTAGCTGTTGATATATAGAACAAGAGTGTCGTGTGGTTCCTTACGGCTCTCAGAGAAGGCAGGAACAAAAAAAAAAATTGGGGGGGGGGGTTTTGATGTGTTTTTGCATGTTGGTGTTTTATTGGGCAAATTGGATCTACTGCACCTTTTATGGTCCCAGCCAATTTTTCCTATTAACTATTGGACTCCTAATAAAATTCAACAGGACTTCCGGTACGGAGCGACAGCGATGGCGGCTATCTTTTAGCCGTCCAGCTGGGAAAGTGTCAGAGCCGCGGAGCACAGCGTGCATCAGCTGGTCCGCGGCTCGGAACTCCCTTCCCGGGCAAAGGGAAGGGACAGAGAGTGCAAGAGTAGAGGTAGAACCCCTGAACCCTCTCTGGATTTAATCCTAGAGGGGGTGAAAGGAGTGTTCCCTCGGAGCTCTTGCTGTCTCCGCCTCCCAGCTGTTTTTGCTTCCTAGGAAGCAAAAGAAACTGCCGCTTCTATCTCCGTGCTTATAGAGAGTTGGTGAGTAATTCCTAAAAAACGGACAGAGCAGTTTAAAGGATTTTTTCTTATACAATTTAGGTGTTTATTTTTTTTTATTTAGTTCTGACTATTTCTCCTTTTTTTTTTTTTATTATTGTGGAGAAGGAATTAAGATGGCGTTTTGAAAGTGACGGAGTTTTTTTTCCTTGTCTTTTGTTTCACTTTCTCCTGTTTCACTTTCTCCTGTTAAGGACTGGACTTTACTTTTGCTTTTGGTATTGAATCCTCTTTTTTGATTTTCTTTTTCTTTTTGGTTTTTTTTCTCTGGATTTTCAAGGATTATAGTGTTTTTGCTGCCTCTTTTAAAAGTAAAATTTTTCTCTCTTTCCCCCTCATTTTTTTTGGGGGGGGGAAAGGGAAGTGAGAACTGTGTTATTTAAAATGGCTTCAAAGAGACAGCCGCCTTCTACAACATCCAAGGTGATTTCCTCTCCTATAGCTTCTACTGCACAACCACAACAACAACTTAAACATGCACCACCGGCACAGCCACCACCCTCCCCTCCTTTGCCTGGACTTTCAGCACAAGAGGCTAGAGGTATAATGGGAGAGGCTGTAGCTCAAATGAGAGAGGAAATGAAGCAACTTTCTACACAGCTTAAATCAGAAATTAAATCTGACTTCAAAGAAGAGATAAGTGGGATGAAGGATCAATTGGAAAAGAACAATAATATTTTGCGACAAGATATACTTGCAGCAGTCTCAGGTTTGGCTACAGTGGTGGTTAAGCTGAATGCAAGACTCGAGGAAGTTGAAGATAAAGTTGATTCCTTTGATGATAAAATTCAAGATGTGGAAAGGAAGGTGGAGACTTCACAAGAAGATATTCTGATGTTTCAGTACAGGCAGATGGAATATGCTTTGAGGATTAGAGGCCTCAAGGAAGATATGAATCAAGATCTGATGGAGGTGGTTCTTACTGATTTGGCTGTGGTTTTGGACATGGACAAAGAAGAATTACGCAGAGAAGTTGAAAAAGTGTACAGGCTTAACTCTTGGATTGCTAAGCAGAAGAATTTGCCTAGAGATGTGGTGATTTATTTTACGAAGAAGTCTCTGCGTAATGAGATCATACAAGCCTTTTATAATAAAAGATTTCAGATAGCTGCCCAAGATGTCATTATACTAAAGGAAATCCCATCAAAAATTTTAAGAAGCAGGAAAGATTTTGCTTTCTTAGCTAATGAGCTTAAAGCTAGATCGATGCCATTTAGATGGGAAATCCCGATGGGTATTGTTCTGAGCCATGCGGGGACACGTTATAGATTGAATACGGTTGATAAAGCTAGAGAATTCTATACTTCAGTCCTAGGTGCAGGCTCAATTTTACCTGTTCAGAAATCCCTGAGTGGCAAAGAGGCGGAGCAGCAGTCTGAGGCATTAAGTTCGGTTTCTGCTGGGATGCTGCAAGCTGAATGGCAACGCCAGACGGAGGTTAAAGAGCAGAGAATGACTCGTGCAGCTTATAAACGTAAAGAGAAGGAGCAACGTAAGAAAGAGGCCAAAGAGATTTCTCCTGGAAATGTATCACCGCCGGTGGGAGGAGCAAGACCCAAGAGTCATGCAACACATGTTGCAATTTCAGATCTCCAAGGTGTCTTCTCCAGGCTGCGGGCCAAGGGAGATGGCAAAGTTTTTGACCTGGAATGTTAATGGATTGAATTCTCCTCAGAAAAGGAAAAAAATCTTTTATTATTTGAAGCAACGTAATAATGATGTTATTTGCTTACAGGAAACTCATATTTTACTTAAGGATCAGAAATATTTAGTTAATGCCCGTCTGGGATCTCACTTCGTATCTTCTGCTCCCGGGAAGAAGGGGGGAGTTGTTATTTATGTCAAGCAAAATCTACCAGTTTGTCTGGTGGAGTCTGACCCCCAAGGGAGATATGTGATGGTTGAATTGGGCTTATATGGTAAGAAAGTACTTATAGTGGGACTATATGCACCAAATCAGCAACAGGAACAATTTTATAGACTCTTACATGAAAAAATAAATCTGCTGGACTACAGATCCGTGGTATTAATGGGGGATTGGAATGGTGTTTTAGACGTACAAAGGGACAAAAAAGGCTCTTCTCCTCTTTTTAAGCAGGCAAAATTACCTAAAGCCTTTTTTGATATGAAAGAGGACTGGGAATTACGGGACTATTGGCGGGAATGTAATCAAGAGGAGAAAGACTTTACCTTCTTTTCAGATAGACACCAATCCTTCTCAAGAATTGACTTCTTTTTGATTACAACGGACTTATATAATAGAGTAAAGAATGTCAAGATTTTCCCTAGGTCTTTGACGGATCATAGTCCAGTTTGGATGGAGTTGACTCAAGAAAAAGAGGAGAGAAGATCCTGGAGGGTGAATGAGAATTTATTTAGACAAGAAAAAAATGTTCAGAAACTAAAGGAGTGTTTAAAGGATTACTTTGTTTTGAATATGTATAAGGGGACTTCAATGTCAATGGTATGGGATGCAGGGAAAGCATTTATGCGTGGGATTTTGATAAAAATGAATAACTGTCATAAGCAAAAACAGATTCAGAAACGTAAAGAATTGGAAGATGAAATTAAATTAAAAGAAAAGTCTTTGATTTTAAATCCTTCTGATGAAAGTATTAAAGAATCTTTAAAGTTGTTAAGAACACAATTTAATATGTTGTTAGCAGATCAAGCTGCAACCAATTTATTGTTTATGAAACAAAACACATTTTGTAATGCTAACAAGCCAGGGAGATGGTTGGCTTATCAGTTGAGAAAGAAACAGAGACAGAGAACAATAGATAAAATAAATTACAAGGGTAAATTAGTTTCTCAGAAGGAATTGATTAAGAAATCTTTTTTGGATTATTATCAAAAATTATATAAATCTACTAATGTGCAAATTTTAGAGATAAATAAATACTTAAGTGAGGTTAGTTTCCCTAAATTGACAGAGGATCAGAAACATGAAGTTAATGGTTTAATTACTAAGGAGGAAATTTCGCTAGCAATTCAACAATTGAAACCAGGGAAAGCACCGGGTACGGATGGGTTAACAGCTGTTTATTATAAAGCCTTACTGGAGGAGATGATCCAACCATTAGGTGATCTTTTTAATGGCATTTTACAGGGTCAAGAGATTCCTCCCTCATGGCGTACTGCTTTTATATCATTGATTCCAAAGGAAGATCAAGATCTTACTTTACCAAAGAATTATAGGCCTATATCTCTTTTAAATGTGGATTATAAGATATTTGTAAAAATCTTAGTAAATAGGCTTATGAGGGTTGTGCACCACCTTGTGCATAAAGATCAATCTGGGTTCATAACTGGAAGGTACATGAAAAATAATGTCAGACAAATTATTAATTTATTAGAATATTTAGATAAAAACAACCAAGTTCCTGCAGGGCTGATATTTTTAGATGCTGAAAAAGCCTTTGATCAATTGAATTGGCATTTTATGTTAAGAGTAATGGAAGAGATGAATTTTGGTGAAAAGATATTGCAAGCTCTTATGGTAATATATCAAAAACAAACGGCACAACTTATCGTTAATGGAGGTTTGTCAGAGGTTTTTACAATAGAGAAAGGTACTAGACAGGGCTGCCCATTATCACCGTTGCTGTTTGTCTTAACACTGGAAATACTGTTGATCAAAATTCGAGAGTCGCAGGAAATTAAAGGAATAGAAGTTAATAAAAAAGAGTATAAGTTAAGAGCTTTTGCGGATGACTTGGTCATCACTTTGTCGCAACCTACTTATTCTGTAGTAAAATTATTACAGCTGATTCATAATTATGGTTTGGTTTCGGGTTTTAAGATTAATGTTAATAAGACAAAAATTTTACCTAAAAATATGACTAGTCGGGAGAAGCAGACTTTGGTTAACTTGACGGGTTTTGAAATTGTTAATAAGGTAAAATATTTGGGGGTGATGCTATCTGTTTCTAATGCAAAATTATTTAAAAATAATTATGAAAGGTTGTGGGTTAGGGTACAGAGAGACTTGAAGAATTGGGAAAAGTTGCAATTATCCCTCATGGGAAGAATTGCAGTGATAAAAATGAATATTCTACCCAAGTTTCTCTTTTTGTTCCAAATGATACCGATTTTGAAGAATGAGATCAATTTAACTGAGTGGCAGAAAGGCCTTAATAAATTTATTTGGGCAGGGAAAAAGCCAAGGGTTAAATTTAAAATTATGCAAGATTTCCGTGAGAGGGGAG